ATATATATAATTTATTTGGTGCAAGATCTCACTGCACAGCTCAAACTCATAGTGATCCTTCTATCTCAGCCTTCCCAGCACTGAAATTACAGGCACATGCCGCCACATCCAGTCTCAGTGGCTTGTTTGGCATCTGGGGCTGGCACAGCATGTGGTACTGGGGACCAAACCTCCGTCCTTGCACTTGTGAGGCAGGCACTTAGACTGCTGAGCTATCTCCCTATCCAAGGTCCCTAGCATTTTTTAAAAGTGCATTGATTCATTATGTGTAATAAACCAAAGCTCTAATATCATTTTTAACTTTTTGAGGTTTCTTGGTACAAGGAATGAAACTTAGCACCTTGCATTTGCCAGGCAGACAGTTATGTTGCTGAACTATATCCCTGGCCCTAAAATAGGTATTAAAAAATTAGGTATTTTTTAAGTCATAACAAGTTTGATAAACATTTTTATTTGGAAAGCATACACAGGAAGATGTTTTATTTCTATACTTGAGTATAGCTAGTGCTTGATCAGTTTGGGAACAACTCCCAGAAATTCCTATACTTGACAAAGCTTCAAAATCCTGAGAACTAGAAGGCCCTTCCACCATTCAAAGGGCCAAGTTAGGAGGTACACAGCTGCAAACATTAGAGCTAAAGAATCAGGAATGTGTCCAGAGAGGGCCTTGCAATCTTGACATGTGGCTTTCGTGGTTTGGAAGTGAGGTTGAAAATGAGATGGATGACTGAGGCTGCTGAACCGTGAGAGGTTCTGAACTATGACAGGTGTTAGTGTTGCTGACACTGGGATTAGGAGCAAATGAAAAAGATGTGACTCAGGTACTGAATGCATGAAGTAGCTCAGGCCAACCGCAGGCTTAGGTAGTGATCACTACAGTGGCCTGAGGATACAGACATGTTCAGTTTCTGTTCTTGATGGAAGATAGCTTGGCATCTGATCACAAGCCCTTCACCAATGAACTGGATGTGTGTCTAGTGAAGCATTTTTATTTAGAGAAACAGAGGAAGTAAGCAACCTAGATTTCAAAATAGGGAAATGAGGAAGAACGTAGTGAATGGTGTGTCCCTTTGTTGAAATTGTGCAAATCACAGAAACCTTAACTGGGGATAGAAAAATAAATGTCAAAGATTTACTTCATTTCCTGTGCACTTCAAAGAAGGTTGAATTTTACTCTTACATTTAAAAACTGCTGATCATTTTGTGGTAAGCAATATGAAATAGATGAGAGAGAAAATTAATTTTAAAACTTAGCTGTGATTTTTTTTTTCAAATTTGAATACGTAATGCGGGATAACAAGTAGTGATGTAAGCTGTTTTTAAACTCTGTTCTCCAGGATGTAGTATAAGGACTGTCTTACAGTTACTTGGTGCTACAGAAGAGTTTATTATCTAATAGAAATATAGATTTAAGTATTGGTAATTTTTATAGTTTAAAAATTGGTACCTTGGTAGTTCTTCAAGGGTCAGTAGTCCTCCTATAGGAGATGTTTGTGAAATGTCTTCCATAGATGTAAATCCTTATCCACAATTCCAAAATCCCAAACTTAAAAAAGAAAAAGATTTTTTTAAAATGTATAACTCATTTAGAACCTATATTGGAGCTGAGTACATAGAAACTGGTAAATACGTAGAGGTCTGTAATATTTTATATAGAATCAGATGTACTTCAGAAATCAGAAGGCTCTAGGCTTTAGAAGTATAATGCCTATACCCTGTTTTATATTATGCCTCCAGCAGGGTCCAGGAAATACCTAGACTGTGAACAAACTGTACTTGTGCAATATCAAATACAGTCAACAAAAATAATTTCTTATTAGTTTAAGCCAGATTATGCTAACAAATGGGTTAGGAAAAAAATGAGTTTTTAGAATTTTGGGAGTTTGAAATTGTGGTGAAGGATTAATTTGTGTAGATTGGGCTGGTAGGGTATACCAATACTAATTCATGGAGAGCCTTGCAAATTGGGCTGAGACATTGCCCCAAGGAGAAAGCATGGGATGGGAGATTCAAGTGAGGTGTTTTGAACCTCATAGAGACAAAGGGGGTCCATCTATGTTGTGCCAGTGGGCTCAGGATTGAAGTGAGTAGGAGAAAAAACTTTTTCCAAAGGAACATCAACAGAATTCCAGTATGGTTTGGGAAGTGGTGGTGGGAAAGGAGTGGAGAAGTTTGTTGGGAAGAGAAGAGCAAAGGTAACTGAGAGTGAGAGCCTGACTGTGAACAGAAAGAAATTTCAAGGGAGGACTTCACACAGTAGGGATGCTATGTTTCAGTGTTCAGAGTGATTTTAAAGTTTTGGTGGAACATCAGGAAAATCATGTCGCTGGAAGTGATTATAGGTCTGGTGCTCGAAAGAGAAGCCAGACCTGGAGGTATATGGTTAGGAATCCTTAGAAAAAGGCAGGACCAACTCAAAGGAAACAGTGTTTGGGAGCAGGAGGCAGGCAGGAAGGAGGAGGGTAGCCCAGAGAAATGGTAGAGGAGTGAAGCTCTGCAAGCAGAGGTGAGGAGGAGCGGGGCTGGCAAGGCCCAGAGACACAGGGCAAGAGCAGAAAGACACTGCTGTCATAAACTCCAGCAGCAGAGTCTTGGCTGCTGACAGAGAAGGATGACAAACTCCAGGCAGGATCGCTGCAGTTATGCAGTGGTTCGGGAGCTCGATACGGTCCGGTGAGCGACTTCGGGTCCGTGCAGCAGGTGCCCGCGCAGCCCTGTGCGGCTGGTGCAGCGACTGCTGAGGATTTGACCCTACACCCTTCATAGCCCATTGGCTGTGAGGCAGAACAGCATTTATTTGGAATATTTTATGTCTTGGCTGGAAACAAAACAAATCTGAATTATGAGCAGTTGAATTTGTTGGGAAGCAAGACGGTTTTATGAGATCTAGAATTTACTTTATTTCTTTCCCCCCTTAGGATAAGCAGTTATTAGATAAAAAAAAAAAATGAAGTTTTAAACAAGTGTGTGTGTTTATATAAAACCTTACTTTCTCAATTGATAAAAGCAAATTATATATTTTTAAAAATTGTGGAATTTGGCCCATTTTTAAAATCTCAGTTTCTTATCTCTAAGATTTTTCCTTTAATGATGTAATTTGCATACTATAAAGAGCCTGGCGATGAGAAAGAGATCTTCCAGTTCTTTTGTCTCAGTTTTCTTCAGCTGCAAAATAAATCACTGAAAGAGGTCAATAAAGTCTATTCTCAGGATGTACTGGAAATCGAACTCATGACCTTGTACTTTCCAGGTAGACCTTATGCCACTGAGCTACATCCTGAGCCTAAAATCTATTTTTTAACACTAGTTATGCTAGTCTTGGCAACTTAAGTCTTTTCTAATAGAAAATTCCCATAACCTTCAGCAGGTTAATGATTCAGTTCTAGATATAATAGCTGTGTGCAGCATTCATATAAACAATTTTGTTGTGCAAATATTTATTAATTGCCTTCTGGATGTCAGTAGCTACACCAGGATACTGTCCCCTCACCAGAGGAGCAGATACTCTTGCAGGGCAGAAGAGGGATCCTCATATTATTGCATGCCAGAGTAAGGGGCATTAGGGATGCAGTTCCTGGTAGGATGGCACAGAGGCTAGTGACCACCTCTCCCCACAGAGAAGGTCATCTGAAGGAGGTGATAGATATTGTGGCTCTTGAAGGATGTCCAGGAAATCAGACTAAAGGGAGGAAAGAGCATTCCAAGCAATAGGAATAATACACACAGTGCCCCTAGGCAAAGCAGAATAGCCCAGTGGTACTCTGGGGCCTGGGGCTCAGCGGGAGGAAGACAAGGACCAGAAAGATTGGCACTAAACTAGGAGGAGCTCTCTATGTCCTCTAAGGCCTTAAGACCTGTACCTCCTGTAGGTGATCAGTGATCCCAGAAGGCTTGTAAGCAACAAGCTTGCATTCGATAAGACAGCTGCAGGAGAGGGTGGTGGTGTGGATCTCTCCCTGGGTACTTTAAGCAGGACCATTTATCCATTCAGCAGTATTTTTGCATTCCATGTCTATTTGCCAAGTGCCTCTTGTGTGCCAAGTGCTGCATTTGTGATTTGTGTCTCTGCCAGTCATCCTGCTTTGATGTCTTGACGGTAAACAGATCCCCTGAAGTTATGAACTACTTAACTCGAAGTATGGGCCCTCATGTAAGGTGGTCTCCTAAAGCTCTCTGTGCCTTGCTACCGTAGATCGCTGCTTCCGAGCTTCAATCATGAGCTGCTATCTGTTGTATTTTTTCATGAGTGTCCTTTGTGATTTTAGAAATATAGAACATGAGGAGACCAAAATCTCTTAGTCGTCCTATGGGCCGAATTCTTCCTCTTACACTGTAGGAATCTCTGACCCTAACATAAGTCTGCATGTCATCTAGCTAGTTCATTCCATGCCAGAACCAGGAGAGTGTGCACAGGAGGTTGTTTTGATCTGAGCAGACAAGAATTCCATATTGGCTATGCGCCCCATTTGTGAGGAAAGAGAGGACGCCTGAATTCTTTCTTACCTAGTGTTTTGTGTTTCTCCAACCTCACCTTGCCTTGTTCTTGGGTTCCACCCTCCAGAGATCTTTATTCATTTACCCCTGTTGTAGGCATGTGGTGAGAACATGATGTTCAATTCCCTGAGAAAGTTACATTTTATTGGCAAATGATGGACCAGGGGATGGCCCAACTGGCCCCTAAAAAATAAACCTGTGGGAGTCCTAAAACCTTATCAGCTTTGATTCTCTAATCAAATGGACACACGCTACCCTAGTTAGGCTGTAAGAAAAGTTAGGACATGTTTAGGTGCTCTTTAAGTGCAAGGCGAGCCTCTGTCGCTGAGGCACTTCTGGCCCACGGTCTCTGAGTGAGTCCTTGCTGCATTCGCAGATACTGGCTCCATCCGCAGCTTACAGACTGGCGTGGGAGAGCTACATGGGGAGACCAGATTCTGGCATGGGAAGGACTACTGCAACTTTGTCTTCAAAGACTGGGTTCAACTGGATAAACCTTTTGCTGGCAAGTATCACGGGAGTGGCAGTAGGCTATAGTTCATCTTTTTTCTTTGAGCCATTCAATGAGTATGCATGTGCATGATCTAAATGCCTTATGTTTTGCTTTGTTTCATCTTTATTTAGCTCTGAGTATTTGGTAAAATTTTAGAAGCATGTTTTATATACACAAGGACTTTTCCTTATAGTCACAAAAAGAGAACACATAATGGAGCCATCCCATTGGAAAGCTGGAGATTTCTTACAGGCCTATTTTAGATAATAATCTGTTATGGCAGCTTTCCTTTGATCATCTTCTTTTATGCTTTTTTTTATATTCCAGCATTAGAATGGAACATTTTCAGATTATTACTGTGTTTATTTGTCTAAGAGGAAGTAGAGAGGGCACTGCATATGTAACCTGCCATTACTAGGTGGGATAAAAAAGAAAAATACATAAATCACACAGCTTTAGATAATTTGTCCCAGCTCATCTCTTGCCTTGCCTAGGGATGAGTAGAGTATAAAGGAAAAAGACTACAGGAGGTACATGGGTGCTGCATTCCTCAACATGAGATCTATGTTTCTGATTATAAAGATGTTTTCCCCAGAAATAGGTACACATAGACTTTATTTACAGGTTTCCTTTTACCTATTATAGTTGGGGTCAGAGGACCTCTGTCCCCAGCACAGAAGAGAGTGATAGATGCTTGCCTGCTGCCCCTGGGCAGATTTCATTGACAGGTACTCTACCCCCCGGATGCCCTGGCATGACATTGCCTCTGCAGTCCATGGGAAGGCAGCTCGAGATGTGGCACGCCACTTCATCCAGCGATGGAACTTCACAAAGGTACTGAACGTTGTCACTCATTCCACAAGGAGAGAGGCAGGCCCAGCCCTAGGAGAAACCCAGAGAGTTGGCAGGGAGGGGCTGCTGTGGCCACAGCTGTGGCCCTACTGCTGTCAAGTGCACTGTTAAGAGAGTGCTTGGGCCTCTTGACATTTAAAAAAAATGTTCTTGAGATTTCATACCTTGGACAATTCAAGTGTAGAGGAAACAGATGCTTCTGTCAGGGTCTGTAGTTTGCTTCTTTTAACATCTTGGGCTCTTAGTGTTGATGAAACATTTACCAGGCTGGGCTCAGTAGCCATGTGGATGGAGGGCTACAGTGGGGGACAGGAGTCTTGATTAGATGACAGGGCTCAGCAGTAGGCCCTTGCAAGCCTGGGATGGCACCAGGTTCATTCATTCAGCTAAGGATTCTGCAGGTTGGCTCTGCCAAGGTGAGTGGTATTGGGCGGTCCATGTTTCTTATCTCAGCATTGTGTCCTCAGTGGCGCCTTCTTTGCTGCAAGCCTTTAAGACCTTGTCTGGAGGTGCAAGCATTCACAAGTTCGTTGCAAGCATCCAGTGTGTGAAGGCTCCACTTTACTTATTTGTAATGATGAAGCATTATTCCTTGTGGTAATTAGGGCAGGTCATTAATTCTGTCTACAACTTACAGTCTCTATCATTCACATCAATATAAAATGTAGGGGAAGCTCTAATGGAAATATTTTAAACAAAAACAGAGGGGATGAGTAGATAAACAAAGCAGTATTGCTTTTAACCTTCTCTACTGTACTGCCAAACCTTAAAAACACTGCTAGTATCGTAGTTGGACTTTTTTATTTGTACT